ACTGATGTCCCTTTATTACACCTACTACCTTCACCAATTTCAAAACCACACCACATACTTTCAGTGTTCTACTGAGATCGTTAGCTTTAACTGAACGGTGATAACGACAAGTGGTTTCGGATTGATTGGGATGGAATAGAGGAGGTTTGTACCTGAGTAACGTCTGCACCTAGAATCACTGGACCAATACCCAGCTCAAAAGTCAGAAGTTGTTTGGTGCCTTTTCGATGTTTAACTCATGCTGATTTTGTTGAGTGTGCGGATGGTCCACGAGCACCCATGCCGCTCACCCCCTATTCGAAATGTTCTGGGTTTAATATCTTCTCAACCGAAGCTGGTCACTGATCCTTCTTAAATGGCCTCAAACTGGATCCTTCGAGCTATTGGGAGCTCAGTTTTGGCCTGAAACATGAACGAAACCCACATGAGCTGCCTCAGTTCCACGACTCCTACCGATGGTTTCTTTGTAGAGAATTTACCAGGTGTGATCCATCTTGGATTATGCTCTTCTTCAGAGCTTTCTTGTTTCCTACATATTTTACTGATGGTCGAAAATTCTTCCGCTTGACCATCTTTGCAGGGAAACTCAGGGCGTTTGGCATTACTCAGCCTCTACTATTACTCTTCGCTGGTAGTTGTGTTTCATCTATATTTACCCATTGCTCCCATTCTACCCTTCTGAGCTCCGAAAAGGGTTGCGGTTGTCATTACAGACATCGATCCTGAATCCACATCTACTCAGTTTCACTTTTCTGAAACGCTGCAACAACAGAAAAAATAAATGGACAGGAGACCAAAATGCCTTAGTCTAATCATCCGAGTGTTGGGTTCACTTTGGAAAACAGACTGATTACTACACTTAGATCAACTTAGAATTTGTATTATTTTCATCTAGATACTACAGTGCACAGTGGAAAAAGTAGCACATACAAGTCAATATTGACACAGCATCGGGAACTAGGTTAAATGTATTCTCTGACCAATGTTAACTGCCACGAGTGATCATTAAATGAAAACAGTGAAGTGAAATCTGAGATCTTTCATGAAGCTACCCGAAAAGCTGGCAAGGATTAATATTATCAGCTACAGGTGGTGATACTCCATGGAAGATGCTGCAAAGCCGCCAAATAAGATAGCTTGTATTATTCAGTAAAGCAGTCATATTTGCACCGAAGCTGAGTATAGGTGATTCATGTCCCCTGGAGGGAAATGCTACATGTAAGCTGAAATATGTGGTTCTGGGCAGCCCGGATGCCTAAAATTATCGTTGTTGAAATCTCACGCAAACTATCACAAGTTATTAGATGTCTCTAGAGAGCTTGACAATCGGAACAGCCAGGTGGTGTTTTTCCTACTTTACCTTTGTCTTCACAAAAACTTTTTGTGAATTCACATCTTACTCCAGTTGAACCTTCACCAACGCATTTTTCGGCGCTCGAAAAGTTGCTGACCAACCAGTACCAGACACAGTGAGAACAGAAGGTGCAGGCGAAAATAAAAGAGGATTTGTTTGCGATGCGACCAACCAAACAAACATTACCTGGATACGGTCCCAGCAGGAAAAACACGCATGTGTGGTGTTGATGTCAAACAACTTGGTGGAAACAGGATGCAATACTAATAACCTCAAGTCAAAACTGAGATGGTCCATTGAGCGGTAAAAACTTACATGCGGCTTCCTCTATTTTAGAGGTAAACGTCATTCACTTGCCCCCAGCGAGAAGTCCGAGATGGTGGGTAACGCTGCCACCACTGAACGGATCCATAACATTTGTCGTATCGTGTGTGTTGCCGATAGATTATAGGTCGCTTATTCACTAGCTGATCCAGCCAGTTGGCCACCAGAGATGTATCCAAAACCAATCTGCATCACTTCAAGTAGCTCAGTATTTCTGTGGATATGATAGAAGACTGTCAGAATCATTTGTGTTGGACACTGAAGCTACAACATAATATGAGTGGGCGTCATGCCTTAGTAGCTTAGTGGACAGCGCTTTGACGTTTGAAGCGATGATAAATGGGCCTGAGTCTCAACGAGAACAACATCACTCGCTGGGCTCCAGATACATCCGGTCGAAAAGTCCAAAATGGGACGAAACGCGCTTCCTAGATTCCTCCGCCAATCACCAGTGTGAATACGATCGGAATTCCCGTTGTTATTAAGGCAAACGACTTCAAGTCAAGGAGTCTCAGACGAAGTGAAAAGAAACTAGTTCCCTAAGTACCCGTCACAGTTCAGTGGTTTGAACTGGAGTGAGATTATTACTCCAACGTTTTTGGAGATCGTTATCAACATGAAACTTCTCCAGAATTCGGTGATGAAAACTGAGACTTCACGAGTTGTATGACTGTTCTAGGACCCGTATGCTTGGGGTTGGTGGTGGGATTTTGTCTTACTCTCTTACCAAGCAGTCGGAGCATCAGAACAGCGAAGGGTTACCCTTCTAAAAGCAGGCCTAGCATTGTACATAAACACCGAGAGTTCGTAACTCACTCCATCTACTGGATAAGGCTTTAGTTTCTTTCGATCCTGCGGGACTTATATGTATTGGATGTAACCAGCTTTTTCTCAGGAGCTTCGAGAAAATAATTCTTGCATGGTTTTGTAGGGTCTTGAAGGCGTTACTTAACCTTGAATTATCGTTAAGTCATATTATGTTACGACAAGGGGTCAGTGGTAGAGCGCTTATTCATTAAAAATAGTAGTTGAAAAACACCAGTATTTTTCAATCGAAAAGAAGATCGACTCAGCATTCTAGACTGGCTTTTTATGCATGTAAGCAAGTGAAAACTGAGCGGAAGTCCTGCAGTTGGTGAGAGGAAAGCAAGAAGGCTGCATGCCAGATGTGGGACCCATGATAAGTCGAGCCTTGAGTAACATTTCTGTGTGTGGTCGGAAGTGAGCCACGAATGGGTGAGCTCTGTTCTAATTTAACTGTGGGATGTCAGTAGCACTGACGTAAAGCAAACGAACAGACTGCACCAAAAATTCCATGTCTCAATGTGCAAAAGGAGTTACACATTTAAAACAACCGGTCTTTCAACTCACCTAAGTTTTCAGTTATACTGCGTTTGAGCGTTAACAAAATAGAAGCCTTTTGGGGGGTAAATCCCAGCTAGTACGTGTGGCTCAAGCAATGTGAAAGCACACATAGTTCTCCAAACTAAATACCTGTCTCCTCGATCTGCTCTGTCTGGAAAATAGTATTACGGGTAGTAGACAAATCGAATGCTGGTCGATTCAGTCAATTTACGTCTTCTCATTGTTTTGTCGAGGTTTATGAAGGGAACTATTTGTTCTAGAAGTCGTTTCTGTTCGACCCCTATTTTGCTTTACTTATTGGGGTAGGTTGCAGCACTTATTTTCTAGCTGAATGTAATGGTCACATCTATTTTGTGGAGTGCAAATGTTCTACTCATATTGTATCATGCGGCTTCCCTACAACACTCCTAAGGACTCAAGTGATTCTCGGTTTGGATGATTAGTCACCCTGAGTGTATACATCCAGGGCAACGAAGATAGCTGCAATGCCATTGTAATAGTGGAAAGAAAACTGTCAGAGTCGCGTCTTCGTTTTCTAAGAAGTTGCTGTGGGTAGCACAGCAAAAGATATGACGTAGCAGTCTTAATTCTGTGCGGTCACTGCTACGCATAGATGACATGTGTGCTGGATCGTAACAAATGAGCTTATGCTTTGCCCTTAAGTGCAGTTTCGAAAAACACAAACCGTAGCCACTGGGAACGTGAGTAAATTCAGAATTATAGTAGCTGAGGATGCCAGGTCATCGATGGCAACTGCTTGAGGCTTAACCGGCACGGTTTGTGCTGCGAGGGATATTTTCGAGAGAAACAACTCGCGCAAAGGTCCATCAACGAAGATTCGTTGCCTATTACCTCCCACACTCACTTGAGCACGTGAGTGGCTGAACTGTCCCTTAGCTCAATGTTATGCAGCATTTCATTTCAGCGATGGTGGCGTGTCAGATCAGAAGGGTTGCTTTTATCTCATCGTTTAATTTGCGGTTAAACACTTTTTCTGTAATGTGCCTGTCTGATTCCCATGGTGGGGATCGACAGGCAGCCAGACGTAGGGAACGAAAACCTTTGACTTAGTAGGCTTGGATACCCGATCCGTCGTGCAGAAACCTTGTTTCTGCGTTGTCTGGTATGCATAACACGAACCAGATTGGGTGCAATATCATTTTAATGGGGTGGGCTTAGGAGTGATTACGCATAGGTACGAGAGTTCATAATATGAGTGAACAAAAGTTAACAGTATGATAAAAGAGATGCACAGCCACAAAAGGAGATGCTGTCACGAGTTTACGAATCGTCCGTACGCAAACCCGACAGATTTAGAGGTTGATCACTAACTCTCCGTACTTGTGGAGTACTCAGAAGTACGTGACAAACAATGAACATAGTAGCATAGCCAGGTAAACATAATATATTTGATGGACTGTGACAAAATCCCAAGGCTTTCCTACCAACTGGCTGGGGGATGGTACAAAGCGACTCAATGAAACGTGATATAGTGCCAGATGGCGTGGATGCTTGAGCGAGGTGTATTAATCTCAGCCAATCCACTAAAACTACGGTCAGTACCAGTATTGAATAACTCCCACCCCAAGGCTATGAATTTATGGGAATTATTCGCCCCTGTAAATTGCTCAACCCGCCGACCTAAAGAAAATTTCGAAAGGAGTGATTAATAATGTGATTTAGTAAAATGAACGCATAAAGCATTCTGGTCAATTGGAAACCTAGTAAATCGGAGTATTTTTTAGAAGACGAAAACTTACTCGGATAGGAGACTAGGTGCTTAGTGTGCAGAAGTTTATCAATCAACGTGAAATTTCTGATACAATTGTAGGTTAGGATCTGAGTGACTTCACTAAGGTCATTGTTAAAATGTTTCGAACAGCAGTCAGCGCGCGGTATGTAAACCCTCAGACTAAGCCTGCTGTCCCTGTGGGCTCAATTTTTGTGGGTTGTATCGATGTTCTACGCTGTAATGAGCAATTCCCTGAACACCATCATGCTTATACTGAGGAATTCAATAGATTCAACCCAAAATGTATGTGTACATGTCTTAAACTTGTATACAACTTATGTAGCATTCATAGGCTTCTCTTGTGATTATCGTTTATAGCCAATTTGTAGGTGAATGTAGTAGATATCAGTGGTATTATTATTATTTATTTTTTACTCCTAACTGCATTTTGGGGAGCTCAACCCAAGGTACGGATGGCAAGTCGTATATTTCTCCCGCCAAAGGTCTATGAAGTGTCGCTGACGTATCTCGTCAATGTTCTGTGACTTATCCCTGCAACTGTTTTAACTTTTATCTGAAAGTAATGTATTTGGTTGTATTTACTGCTGCAGTGAATGCAGCGATAAGTGCGAGTTCCCTCAGTAAGTGACCCAAGCGTTTGTTATATAAATGGGAAATAACAGTCCTTGTTCACTTGTGCCACGTGATTGTGATTACAGTTGCAGAAAAAATCATTTTCAATGTTTTGTTAGCGGTGGAAAGGCGATGATACTGAAAACAGTAGATCAGTTCAATAAACGAAAATTAATGGACGTTGTGTCGTTTCATAACACCTGTCAGAATCTCGTAAGTTGGATAACAAATTCAAGCCTTTTCCTAACAATGGGCTTATTTGCTGTCAAGCAACGTAATTAGTACAACCGTTGGAGCAAGCATCAAGATGTTGATTGATGAATTAGCATACTATCCTTATTTCCTTTTTGATGCTTACACAAGATTTAACTTGTGATGTGCTTTAGTCATACCAGTTCACATCATGTGGGCTAAATTTTTAAGTAATTCCTTCCAGTTCCAACACAACTTGGGGTACCAGAACCTCAGTCTACTATGCACTAGAAACACACTTATATTATCACCACACGTCTGACCACCTAGTTTTGCTCACTAAGCTTGCACTGCGTTCTTAGATCAACACCAAGATGTTGGCGAGGTCACTAAAATGAAAATGCATGTGTTCACTGGTAGTATTTTTGTTATTCTCAGTTGGTGTGATTTTCTCCACTGCTGAGTTGTTGTTTGACGAATAACCTAACTGACAACTGAAATAAAACTTACAATCCTTTTTTTAAGGGCTATGTTCCTACGTCTTTCGTTTATCCCTATCGTGATGTTGTAGCTCCCCCAAGGTTACTAATACTCTGGAATATTGTTGCACTTGTTCCATTTCCTCACTTTTACCTTGAGCATCGACTTTTTCTGGGAAGTTAGCTGATCCCAATTTCGGGTTATTATATTGTTTAACGAGGTCAATGAGACCACATTGAAAAAGCATGAACCTATAAATTTCCCGAAACAAGACGGCTAAAACTGTCCGGAGCATTGAGCGAAAGTTCAACTGGCCCCCATCTACTATTCTGTTGCCCACTATCCAGTCGGGTGGTAAATGCAAATCTAGGATGAGATCTCAAACCATTGCAGAGGCTGGGAAGGCCACTCAGATTGGGTTTTTGACCAGTTGTACTTATATTAAGCAGACACAAACCCAGGCAGACAATTGGATCACTTCAACGTTCCACCACCAAGAGTATGGATGGTCACAGTTTGCTGTCGACCCTGGTAAGACATGTTTAACTTTGATAGTGCGAAAAATATGCTATATTTACGGGAAATGACTACCAAGCGATTAATTGCGACTTGATTAAAATACATGTTGCATTATGAAAATACGTCGTCCCCATAATTAAGGATGGAAATCCTTTTGCCACTACTGACTTACCACCACATAACTCCTTCAAACCTATCTTAAGAATAACATCGGTAGCGACGTTGAATAGCACTGATAGTTCGTGAAAGCGCAATGATGTGGTTGTATTTTCCCCATCCTACCTCAGGTTGTTTCAAAGAGCCTACGAAGTATTGATAAACCCAACGATATTATTCTTTTTCGAGTATCGGAAGGAGTGCCGACATAAAAAAAATATTAACCTGTTATACGTGTGACTATCTAAGCATCAGTGACCTAAATAGCATCCAGTCTGCTACTTTCCAACCAGTTGTTTCTGCATGGTTTACTCATCCTTTTTTCGGTAGTCGGATACCTCGACAGAGATGATGGCAAATGTCAATTAAGTTTTCACTATCTAAGCTGAGATTTCGTCAGCAACCAGTCTGTTAGGGGTGACGCAACTCCCCAGTTAAATGATGTGCTCGACACATTCGACCACTTCATTCCCTATCCTTGAAATGGGAGTAGTTGCAGAGCAGTCGTGAGGCATCATCTCAACTATACTCACACTTCTGCTCAAGACGTGAAGACCGAGCATTTTTCCAGCGTTCTCACTTAGTAGGACAATGTCGTATGAGTACTCCTAGTTAACCACATGCCCTACGTGAAGTAAATTAATTGCTTTGAAGTCAGAGGTGCGTAAGGTTAATTCGATCTCCGGTTCGCATTTAAAGTAGTTGTTAAGATTACAGATAACGCTCAGAAGAAAGCTACAAGGGTCATCGGGTTTCACTAGCTTCTTCTGAAATAATGGATGGGTGTGAATGTATTCTTACAGGTTGCGAGGACAATGAGCAAGCTGGACCAAAGTAAATGCAGGTAAGCAAAGAGTTCAGGCAGTCACCGTGGGTACTGGTCAACAAAGACGGCTAAAGAGAAGAAAACGCCAGCGATAATACGTTATAGCGGTAGCTTTTTTAACCTGACCAAGAAAACAAGGGCAATCAAATCAATGGCTGACTAGCCCACAGTGGAAAACGGGAAGTATGAGACTCATTCAGAAGGAAGTGGATTGTAAATCTTAGAGGAGCAGCTCAAATGCCGCTTAGCCAGTCTTTCAATGACCGATTTACAATTAGATCCAGAATGGAGCACCGAGATAGGCCGTCCTACTCTCAAAGAAGTTAAGAAGGCTCTAAGTAAGAGAAATGAGGAAGGTTTGAAGGCACCAACTGACAAGTAGCAAAAGTACTTGGAGATAGTTGTCAAGGGTTTTCGTTTAGCTTAAGTGAAGTGCTAACTAGCGAATGGTAATCATACACGTTCCTCTCTGACTGGTCTCAGTCACTGGTTTTCCCAGTCCTCAAGAAATCTTGCGACAACCATAGGGGAATCAGTCTGAGGAACATACTATCTAACACCCTAGGTACTATAATCACTAGACGTCTAACTGAACCTGAGGAACAGCAAACCCGAGATAACCGGGTGAGAATCAACCTAGTGATAGGGGTACCGACCAGATGTTTACTCTCCACCAGCTTCTGGAACTCAAGTAGGCCTACCGGCACTATCTATCTTCCTTGACCTGAAGGCGGCATTTCACTGCATCTATCGAGAGGTCTTATGACAGGGGCTATCGCTGAAACAGGTACCGGATAAGTACATCACTCTATTAAATTCGCCATGCTCGAACGTCTGTGTGAGAGCACGTAGTGTGCTATGTACATCGAGTGCTTTCTCTTAAGGGTGTTCAATGTCTTCGTTCTTATTTAACTTTGTCGTGGGTGTACTTGTTGAGATTTGGCTCTTCATCCGACTTTACATTGAATGACCATGTCACATGAGACTTCTTAGTAGACCTGGAGTGCACAGACGAGTCGTGTTAGATGAGTACACTTAAAAGATGCACAGCCTTGAATTACAATTTGAGAATATTTAGGATGCGTTTCCCGCCACCTGAATGGAGACCGTTGCTCTAGAACTGATCTTCACTGGTGCCCTGCCTCACACTATGGAGTGAAGTGGTTGAGCGCATTGACTACTTCACTAATCCGGGAGTGGGACCAGCCTTGGTGGGATAGTAACCGACGAAATCTCCGCAAGGACATAAAAGGCTTGATTAGCTTTCGACAACTCACACTGTTTATGGTGTCTCCGTGATATCCGATTGGGAATTGAAGGCATGGTGTACTGCTCTGCAGTTCGTTGTTCTACTACATGGTTTTCAAATAGAAATCCAACCAGCTACCTTGTGCACATCCGTGTAGTAGACAATGAGCCACACTTATGAGAGCTGATGATACTACCTGGTTGCTCAAACCTCAATTCAACGCTCAGGTGGGTGGACTCAGTGAGGCGGGAAGGCACTTAGGTGGCACTTTCGGAATCCCAGCTGAACGTACAGATAACGGTGATCGCCTGTTGTAACTATGCTCAACCGCCTATTTTTAGCCAGCACCAATTTCAGACATAAAGAAAGGCAATGTCTGACGTGGCGTCCACCGAGCCCAAATCAGCGATGGACACAGATAGACGATATTGCTATTAGTCATCGCTGGAGAGGATCGATGAAAGACTGCCACTCTTTCTGGAGTACGTACTCGGACAGCGATCATGCGTTGGTGAAGAGGTGTTCGAACCTGTGACCCATCGGTTGGAAGTCATCTCCCCAAACCAATGAACCACAAACATCATTATTAAAAGTAGACTATATGAGGAGACTTCAGGTGTTCGACTACCGTTGCCTTCCTAGCTTGGGCCGTTTCGTGTAGCGGGCACCATGTCATTAACGCAGAAGATGGACGTCTAGTTTCCGGGTGGAGTGTGTGGAGGGGGGGGGTCACTTGATAAGTCTGTGAATCTTCGTTGACTTAAAAAAGCGTCTATCCACTATCTACCCTGTTGCACAATGCCATCTGAGGTGGGTTTAAGACGGAGAAAGGTAAAAGACAGTTGGACTAAAATATGGCATCATATCTTTGAGTGTTGGTCTGAGCCGTGTAGGGAACTGTAGACCTCGCTGTCGGGGTCTATATGACAACCGTGATTGATGTTCAGATACTCTGGGGAATGTTGCAGAACCGATCTCGGTGGCGCAGATGCATCCGTACATTGTCGTCATGTCAATCGTTGTGCCAAGTTTCATTATTGTTTTATGCATTCTTGTTCCCTTTTTATGACTTCCTACCACTTCTAACTTTCTTATTTACTTATCCATTTTGGATCTTGGTGCCTTCTACGTTGGCGTCCTGATATGGGGTGTGGCAACAAGAAGTATTATGCAATCATCCCAGGTCTTAAGTTGGACCTGACTGACAACTATTCTGGTTGAAGACTCAATATACGCCAATTCTGTGATGTATAGCTAGGGGCTGCAGTAGAAACACATACTGTTTCTCGAATTTCTTTTCATGCCACAGTATATTACCAACTAGTTGTGAAGATCTACGTTAGCTGTACCGAGGCGTCCAACTTTTTAAAAAATTATGAATTACAATCTACTTGCTGACATCATTGACAAAACCCTACATTTACACACCGAGAAAGGTGTGCTAGGAAAGAATGAAGCAATGCATGCAAATGCGCGATGCTAGAGATAACATTTGGCATTTTAGTGTCTGGTCACAGGCTTCAGTTGGTGTACATTAAGCTTAGCAATGACATGTAAGAACAACGGTTATAAGATGGAAGTCAGCTAACACCGCCCCAACGATAGTGTTGACGCGGGCACTATCCCAATATAACGCCAAACTTTAATATTAATATAGTTAGTGGTCCTATGTAATACAAAATATATTGACTAGCCTGAGGCTAAATGTTGCATAACTGCACAATGATCATTTCAAGGCTTTTGTCTACTGTAAATGGTGGTGTATTACCTACACCGACCTCAATGTTCTTTAGGATTCTTGAGGGGATAATACAACATGCTATATGATGATAACATCTCGCATCTGACAAGATTGTGGAAATAATACGTATTGGAAGGGAGTAAGGGGATTACACAGAAGTGGGAATGGTAGGCGAACTATCCTGCAAATGGAAAGATTTTCCAGTATTTCATATACTTCTTCAGCATCGGCTTATGAATTCCCCGGCTTACTGTTATATCAATATATCGTTTCAGACCACTATCCAACACTAACCGCACTGTTTTTCCTCAGTCTGCACAATTTCATAAATATTCGTACCGGTCAGTGCTAACATTCCTGGTACCTATGGATTGATACGGGTAGTTTTCGCATTAAAATAGATAAAGAAGTTCTTACAACCGTATACAGAGCATACAGCGATACCTTAATAAGATGACGCCTAACTATACTGATGTTGATGTTCAGATACTCCAGTGAATGGCGGAAAATGAATCTGGGTGCCGCAGACGCATCGCACATAATTATGATTTTATTGGTCTTACTTCGCTCGGTAGCTGAAGCCTTACCGTGGGGGTCAGGTTTTTATAGCAGTGACCCAGCGAGCTATGCTGATGAAGCACTTGTCCACTCGGGAACCTACAATGCCTTTAAAGTCTTTTAGATAGCAGTGAGACAAAACGCAGTTATCGCCGTAATGTAAATTATTACATTATGATGGTAGTCTTAGGGCGAAGCGGTATTACTACGAGCTGAATGTTCGGGGTGTAGGGGGGAGGGAAGTGCAGACAGCAGCAAGGCGTTTCCCTTGGATGACCAGTAGTGGCACGCTGATGTTGCCTTATTTATGGTAACTAGAGATTGGGAGTCGGTCACAAAAGTAAGGCATCCTCAACCGTTCGTAGTGTGCCAAACAAAAATCCTAAAACTACCAAATAGTCATGTGTGACAAACCTGAAAATGATGTCCAATGGGCTATGGTCGAACAACTCTTCTTCTCTTCCCTTTACCTTGATAAAGAAAGGCCTCTCATGGTTAGGGGAGCTGGGGCGTCATTCGCCTGTACGCTCCCATTAGTGCACAAGACGCAATCAAGTATAACCTATGTCTCACAATTCTGATTACTTTTTTGCCTTCTGAAACTTAGTTTAAGCCTATTACACCCAACATCTCACTCCGCAACCACTGTGACAGACGGAAGCCATCGAACCTTGATTCTCCCAGTCTTAGACACCGCCATCGATTTAATGCGGTGGCTATCAACGTCCGACCTCTATGTCAAACCGGGCAGCACGAGTCGCGCTCCGAAATCGGGATCTGTACCCATAGATGTATACTGCATATGTTGGACACATATGCAGTACCCGAGTTTGGCTATTAAATCGACCTCACTTGGCTATAGTAGTTAGTCTCCAAAGTTCACTATGAGTATCCGGAGACCCAATGGATAGTTCTCGTGGAGTCGCTGGTGTAGGCATAACATAACATAACATCGACGTGGTTGGGTGGTCAAGCTGGCATATCGAAGTGATCCAACGAGCTAAGCTGGTGGAGCACTTATCCTCTGGAGTTCATACCATGCCAGAAAGGTGGTAAACGTAAAGCAGTTACCATTGTGTGGTGTAAATTACTACAATATGACAGAGGTCTGAGGGTGAAGACCTATTGCTGCTGGCTAGACGGGGAATGGTAGCAGTAAAGTGTTTCCCTTGGATGACCAGCAGTGCCACGTCGATGCCGTCTTCTCAACAGAAAGAGGATTAGAAAAGCTCAACCCGAAAAATAACTCACTGCCTTTGGCCTCACAGTCTTCCGTTGTCGGCAGTATGGGTTCTCTCTTTCGTTTCATAGGCTGGGGTGATCAGGGAAGTAGACCAGTCTGACGACTTCACCTCTGATTCACATGCCCTGCGCAGTATCTTTGTCACTTCATTTGTTAATTCCATGTCTCGATCCGTGAAAACACCAAGTGGCAATCTGTCAGTTCCAGCTGCTTTGCATTCTTTCAGGTCCGATACAGACTTCTTAACATTAAGGAGGTTTGAGAGACGGGTTTCCTCGCCCTATTCCGGTTCAGGTCGGATGTTGAGCGACAGAAGTAGTTCTGTCGGCAAGTTGGGCTGTTTCCACGTGTTCTGCTCAAGGTTCCAGCAACCGGTGTAGGTAGGTTACTAGGGTCCCATTGTTTTCGGTGATGATTTCACTCACCATCTTTTTTTCTTGCCGGTACCTTTAATAAGCCTAGTAAGTGCAACCTAACTCGAAAGCCACGAAGGTATCTGTGATAAAACGCAGTAAGTGATTAATTTTTTTTATTTTCAGTGACTTTATATGAAGCGTACAACAGGATGAAGCGAACTGCTGGTCAGCGTACTCGTTTTTAATACATAGACGAATATCTTCCCATTTAGCACCAGGAATGACGCAAGTTGGCAGATGCGAAACCTGGCTGAGTGTCAGAGGTGTGCGTGACAGCAGAGGTTATTGGATGTCTCCTTGTTACCTGTTACACGTGGTCTTAAGGTGGACATAGTATTAATTATTTTACCGTCGACCTGAGTATAGCCATGTCGCTAGAGGCGTAACACTATGGGGCCTACTGCCTTGTGTTGTTTTCGAAGGTGACGTTTTTTAACGCTGCCTCCCCGTGTGGGAAGCTGTGTCAGCATAGCACTGTTGGTCATCCAAGGAAATCATCTTACTGTTGTCATACCACGTCCAGCCTGGAACAGGATGACTGTGCTCTCAGACTCCGATCGTATTGTAGTAATTTACATTACAGCAGTAACTGCTTTTTTTCTTACCACTATTCAGAGAACCCTCTGGCCTGGTAGGAGCTTAAGGGAACAAGGGTTTCACCAGTATGGGTCTTCGGATCATTGTGATATCCATCCTTGATCACCATATTAAGACAGCTTGTCAACACAACCCAATAGTCTGCGAACGCTATTCTCATTGGTTGCTACTTAATGAGTATTGTTTAGTGGAAATTTTGGTGCAGATTTTGTCATTTTCTGCACAACATTCATTGCAGTTGTGTAATGGAATACTAGTGTTTGACTAGACGCGATTCTTTTTATCAGGACTATAACCCTGGACACTGCAGTCGACCGTTCGAAAATTTGATTTCCGATACATATTGCAGAAAACAAATTCGCCTGAACTTTTTTGAGTCGCAGACCTTTTTGTTTCATGTTCTTTTATCATATATCTGTTTTACTGACTTCGAATTTATTTTCTGTCTTCATGTACTACGTTTTTCCAGATAACTGACGTAAATGCAGTATGCGATATCATTGAACGATTGGAGAACTTTCCAATGACCATGAATCAATTGCAAGATACTAGGATTGGTCAGCTCCTGCAAACCATCCGTCATAAAGTCGATCCCTCACTCCAAAAACGTATTCGTCTCATTATCAAGGCGTGGCAGAAATTGTTATCATCTGACTATTCACATCAGTGTGTGATTCCTATAAAAACATCTGAAAAAGTTGCATCTGGCGCACCTAGACCTAATGGCACACCAACCAAACCACTTATTCGCGAGAAATCTGGACATTGCATGGATGCTGTAAATACTGTATGCCCTCCCCAGTTGAAATGTCATATTTCGGTTTATGGTGATGAAAGCTCCGTTCGTCCAACGAAGAGAAACTTACCAGATTCTTCACCTAGCAAAATGTGTAAAGATGGTGCATCTAAAACACACGCGCATCAGATTCAACAAAGTGAAAACTTTAATTCAAATCTGTCTAAACGCCTAAAGTGTATTGACTCCCCATCCCTTACCATGAACATATCAACAGTTGGTAAAGTCAGTAGTCCAAATAACCTTTTGAATGGTAGTAAGTGTTCAGAACTCATGTTTAAAGCAAAGTCAGACATTTCAATATCTCAGTCATGCATTACGACTGCTTCCCGGTCTCCTATACAACAGTCTTTGTCAAAACCGCGTGTAAACAACTCTACGCGTTTGTCTAAAGTTAAATCAACCGCAGAATTGGTCCAAGCTGCAGGTGACTGCATTGATTCCATCACTGCTGATCGTATCCTAACGAACAGAATCAGTAAAGAAATCGACCCGCCTAGAGTATGCTCTCTGGTGCAACCTACAAAAACACGTTTAAACCGAACAACTTCTGGTCCGCATTCCACTTCACGCACTTCATCTGTTAATAATAATAATGAAGCCACACACCTTCCTAAGTCATGCACTTTGGCAGATGTCAAACCTGAAGTACACTCTGAGTATGTAGAAAAATCTGCTTCATATGAAAAAAGTAGCATCTCGGTTTCCGATTTCCATCAAAGTCCAGCACCTGCACAAACCTTGACATCAGTATCTAGCAACCAAAGCCCAGTGTATTCCAACAACAATGAAGACGTCCCAGGTCAAGTAACACTTCAAAATATCAACAAGGATGCCCAAAAAGTCAAAAGAAAAAGAAGCACAAGCGTCATAAATACCATTTGAATGTATTGGAAAATCCTCTTGGGTCACATTCCACTCAACTGGAATGCCAACAGGGAGACAAGAAGTTCCTTCCACCGGTAACTAACTTCATGGACGATTGGCCAGAATTACCATCGTTGCCCGATAACATTGACTGGCATAGCCTTGATCGTAGCTGTGTAGCTGTCTGTGATAATACTATCCTATGTAATGAAGATTCTGACTACCAGCTTGAAAAGTATATAGAAGGCACGGAACTTGAATATACGTGTATTTCCCCTACTAATTTACACTCTGTTTCACTTGGTGATCAGTATTTACATATACTACCTTGGGTTGACATGGTAGGGTATAAACGCCAGTTTTTCCCTCCTTGCTCTGACCAGGATTTAAGTGAACTGATTACTATGCCCGAGCCTTGGTGATATGTCGGATCTCGCTAAGAAACTTCTACTCGTGGTGCCTTCTTGCGAGATAAGCTGACCTAATCTACTTGTTCCGATCAAAATGCAACTTATTTTGGATGTATCTAAATTACCTTCGGTTTAACTTTGATGAAGATATCACGTGGCATTTATTTCACTGACCAGTAATTAGATTTTCTGCAGTTCAAAGCATAAAATAGTAACCAGCACGATCGAGTGTGTCAGCAATGGCCTAGTCACCTGGTAAACCAGACTTAACCACCCATTTCTAGTCCTATTGGTTTTTGATGCTTTCTGCTGTTGGATGAACTGTTTCCTGACTGCGAATATTACACATATCGGAAGCCCAGTTTTCTGCTTTATGAATGTGTCTTTTCGGCATGGGCTTGGAAATCTGTACATAACTCACTTGATTTCAGTGACTGTTTGCTTTATAAGATTTTTAAAACAAATAAAAAAAATTTATCTATCTTACAAAGATGAAGTCTTTTATTTTAATATTAACACAGGCTAACTACTGCATATATCCGTTAGTTCTTGTTTATGCATATGGATACCTTTTATTTATTTACTTTAGCATCAAGATCGCAAAATAAGCATCTTGGTCTTTTTCTCCAGTCGCTTGTTGAAGTTTGAATAAAGTTCTTTTCGCAGTTAGGGCACTGAAATCGAGAACAAGAGTTTTGCAGTTTACTTTAAGTGACATTTTGCGATTTTATTCATAATTCAACTTACAATTTGAAATGTACATCTATCTAAACCTTATCGACGGTTTCGGTAGAGTATACTCATTCACATCGTAGGCTGTTTGATTTTGTATCTGTATTGTTGTGTGAATATAGTTTATGTACAATTGCTTTTCAGTTGGCTAAGGGTGTCCTATCTGATCTTCATTTTATCATAGGTTTTGGACCACATAGTTAAAGTAGAAACGTTTCTATTGTGAGCATGTTTTCACAAGCATGTACATCATAGTTCTATTCAAATGCCGCTTGCGAAATCTGGTAATGTCAAAGCGTGAAGATGATGGTTCAGCGCGTATATTTTTAACCTCAAGTATTTTCTTCCCTTTTTTAAGATGTTAATGATTTTTGAAACTCGTTATCAGGGCAAAAATGGCATGGAACTAACGAAAATAAATGGGTTGATAGTACCTCCACAGACAGTGGTGAAGTTGATGAAAGCCGGCCTGGCAACTGTTCAGTTGAGTGATTTTGCATCCGTTACGCAGGGTTCTTATCAAGCAATGAAGTATTTCTCACATAAAGCAAGAACTCGCACCTCTATGTAGCCTTTTCAGTATTACAATAAACGCCAAGACCGTACTATTCGACTGGTTGTTAGGCTCGACTGTAATGAGAAGTAACTGGCAATCGGAAAGTTTCTTTGTCTTATCTGCCCGAACGGCTGCGGTTAAAGGTGAGTGGTGTTTCCCACCACCAGGTTTGCTCAACAGATGTTGTGGTGCTAACTGGGGAATTGAACGCATATATTAGGTGTTTAGGATTACAAGAGCGTTGCTTAGGTAACCTTTGGGCGATTGCTAGTCGGATACATTCTCTGTAGCTTTTGGGATGTTCACAACCTGTTGCTAACCAGCACCAGCTTTCGACGTGATCATTGCCGTTGAGCTACTTGGCGTCACTCAAACAGACCATGTTGTAACCAGCCGTTTTTTTGGGACTGTCACTCCTCCTGAAACACGTATGGGAACTCTGACCAGAGAATTATACACTAAGTTCATCTCGTGTTTTGCTGGTCATCAAAATAATCTTTCTAAAATGTTTGGCGAAATCAAATTGTTTGCTTCCAGTATTACTTTATACCGAACCAAACTAGGTTTAAGAGTATAGCTGTCGAATCTCCAAGATGAGCATTTGTTGCATCTAATAGATGACAAGTAAAGTCACTTTTGGCGTCAATGTACGTTTCGCTATGAGGTGCTAGGTCTTCGAACTCACAACTTGATCCTCGGCGGTGTATTCCAACAAGCAACAGTGAGTACGACGGTATAGTAAATCCCTTACGTGGCAGACCGCATAAGGACTATGAGGCTCGGTAGTTAGGATGCATAAGTGAAACGGGCACAGAAGCTGCATCTGGCAATGGTTGGAAGTTGTTACAGTAGTTTCCAGTAATCGGCAGTAAGAACCATGTCACTGAAGTAGTGGTAAGCCGATCAGCAACTTTTCTGGATATCCGGATGCAGCAATTACAAAGGGGTATTAGCTGACCTAGTGCCTCAGCAACATCGACTTCAAAGCATTATTTTTCATGGTTAGTTAGTATCAACTTACGTAGCGCAGCAGAGGTTCGTAATGAACTTGAGGAATTTAAGTGTCGCAAGGCACTTGACCCAGACTTATTTCCGGTCTAAAGGAGTAACTGTATTGTTTTAGTGGTTTTCATCAGGTACCCGATTGCTACAAGTATCATGTGGAATATTAGCTGTCATCACGCTTCACAAAACATGTCAGAGACTGATCCTTGAAGAGCATGTCATGGATTCACTCATCGTACCCTCACTGCGGTCAGATGCTTTGACATTGTCATGCATATTGAAGACTAAAATTCGTTTTGTTTCTCGATATTAAGACTTTTTTTTAGTTTGGTTTGACAGAAACTGTCCGTTAAACATGGGTGTTTACTAACACCCAGAAAGCCCTCATCGTCAAGATCGATAAAGGAACAGGCATTACTGCATAATGATCCAAATTGCTACATCTCATACAAGCACATCAAGTAATCAGGCAATGAAATGGGAGATGAAGAAATAAAAATCGGCCAAAGGAAGTGGTAAGAGAGGAGAAGGAAAAATGAGGAAATAATGAGATAACGTATATCGGTTAATTTGTGCATGTATCTGAGCCACTGACATCGGTTCTCAGCCATATCACCTTAAGACTCCAACCACTGGTTCCTCTTGTCCCGTGGACTCCGACCGATCAGTCTGCACCGCCCTGCATGGCTCAAACCAACAGCCAAACACTTCATACATTGGTGCCATGTTTTAGTGGGGCCACCTTGGGCCTTTCTACAGCCTGGGCCTACTTCAGCCAATATTATATGACGAGGCGATCGGCAACTGGGCATACGTAATACGGCCTATACTACGAAGGCAACGGTGGTCAAACACCTGCAGCCAGCCGTCTCATGTCTTCCACCTTTAACGGCCATGTTTCACAGTCATACAGTAGAACAGAGGGGACTGCTGTGCAGTACACACAACCCTTAATAGACAGTGGGATATCACGGCGGCGCCATAGGTGGCGTAAGCCAGTTGAACCTATTGTATTCAGGAAGAGATGGTCAGTGTATTAGCGCTGGGATGAGGAATAGTCATCCTGGGAACGCCGCAACAACACGAATGGCGTCCGACAGACTGTGCAAACTGGTGGTTTGAAACGCTGGCAGATATGACTCAGAATCGAGACCAGTAGCGAGCATGCTGCAGTTTTCTTGTTTCTTCATCTGTCGAAAAGCAAAACGAAAGTAGCGGATGGATCCTATAGACTACTTTTTCAGTAACCTATTTCGAATCCCGATGCAGTTCTCCTTTTACCCTCGTATCTACGTCACTTCTGTGTCATGGTAGATTTTTCTATTAGATCATACAGCTCATTTCTTGGTACCGATATTGTACCACGTATGTGTTTCAAGGAAACATGAAGGAACGAAGCACTCAGTAGCCTTACTCAAGTTTGGGCTAGATCCTTTCAAATTACTACTATAGGTCCTTAGAGTCAGGTCTTTTGTGATTTCATGCTATGTTTTTGAAGATTTCTTATTTCCGTTGGTCGGGTGGATATTGATCAGCTAAAGTATCAGATCTGCAGTAGTAATGTTTCATATTTTGTATTCCCAAATTTCCGCAACAGTTACAGAAAAGATTTTTGGGTAATCGAATAGCAAAATATCCTACAACTGGCGACAGAAGCCACCAGGTACCTCGGAATTCATAGTTAACCTCAATGCAAACTGATGGATTTGTAGTTATTCTTGAGCTTGATTCAGAATAGTATCCAGTAATGAAAAATGAAATAGTCCCTTTGGTGTCGTCCCTCTGTTAAGAACAAAATCTTCGGGTCCATAAGTCAAAAGTTGTCTTCTGCTGTAAAGTGCGATCAGAAAGTTGACAGCATGCTGTGCTAGTGATAGCGAATACATTAAAAAATACCTGTTAATACAAAAGGGCCTAGAAGAAGGCAACTAACTGTGTTTCTACTATATTTTTGTTTGATTTATCGCTATTCGAGAACGGTTTTCAGTTTGCACAGAGAATTCCAGTCAGTGTGTTTGTGACCGGCAATTCCTGTTACCAGCAAAGAAAATTGTTCTGAATATGAACACTTCGTTAACATATTCAAAAAATCAGTTAGCGGTTTGTGGGTTGAACAATCTTGTTGCGGAAAGTTACTATCATTTTGATGTCTTCTAAAGCTTGAACGTTTTGACTAACCTTAATTTTTAAATTCTCTCTCCTCCTATACACCGTTTTCTACTTTTTCTACCCACTTGTTCTTTACATACCACTGTGAAGTTTGGCAACTTGAACCTATGCACTTGTGCGAGGTTGTACATTGATGTTTTCCTACTTAGTTAAATATTAAGTTCATCCTTGTTCGGGATTTCACACCGTAGAATCATTTGTTTGATAACTCAGACAGGGTTAATTCGCAATCTCTTATTTATAAATAAAAATTCTACCAAGACATTTGGCTTGTCATATAGTTCATCTTTACCCCGTAATTTTGTAGCCTCGTATTTATTTCATACAAAACCCTTGATAAGTATTGGACTGGTAGATGGGGATCAGCCTCAGCATTATTACAATCCTGAATGAGAAATGATAACAGGACCTAGTTGTGAGGCCTTTCGGTATTATGGGAAATCCTTTCCCTTGTCCGATCTATGTCATAAGGTGTTTACAACAAGTAAGCCCAAGAGCCACAAATGATTTCCCTATTACTACGTCAAATCTAGGGCCGTAGAAATGTTTAAACATCTCTAAAATGCATAACCCCTTGAATGCAACGAATTCAGAAATAGAAAAAAAGGAAATAACGTTTACAAAATCATTCGGGAAGAGTAAAAATTAAACTACTCCGTTTTCTGTCAGTAAACCACCAGAATTTCTGTGACGAGTGTTTTTGTTGAGTACACAATTCACAACTCAACCTACCTTTATTGTTAAAATACTTTGCTCTTTCCCGGGTAGGTAATTGAACGGTAATCTTTCGATTACTTCCATGTTCCATGATCGTATAGATCTGTCCTGAGGAAAATAATATTGGTAATATGAGTTACTTTTGATGCGGTTAATATCCATTTCCCATCTTTTGTCAAATGTACGTCATTGATCCAATCCGTGTGCCTCTGTTTAGGGAGTTCACTACTTACAGTTTTATTGTACCTTGAGGCATAGTTTCACTTCTTTCTTCTCAATTTCCCAAAGCATGACGAACTTATCATGACCTCCTGTAGCGATATAGATCCCTGTTTACGTCAGGGATGCTGTATATTTCTTACCTCGGTCGTCTATGTCACAGCTACTTATTGACCCTGTATGACCGTTTGCTAAAATCGTTGGTCCTTCTTTCCTATATATTCCAGTCTCGATGTCGTATAGACAAACGGTTTTGTCCCACGATGTTGTCGCGAGTAATTTCCCATCTCTAGCGATAGCTGCTGATGACACAGCATTTTTATGATCTCTAGAAATGATTAATTTGTAAGTTCATCTTTTCAAACCGCAAGGTCAGCAATGTTCTACGTGATCGTAAGTCAATGCATTTCGCAGACCCATCTGTGGATGTTGTGATCACACAGTTGCCATTTGGAGTAAAATGACATGATGTTGGTGTTTTTTGGTGAATGTCTTAGGTTGCAGATAGTCTGCGCAGTTAACACATCTTACTTGATATAGAAAAAACTTTCTTTTGAGATCTCAAATCCCACAAGTTCATGTGACAGCTGATATCAGTCACACACACCAAAGCACTACCATCCATATTGATGGAGTGGTCTGTGACTGCACCTCCATTTAGTACAGAAAACTAACTACGTAGTGTACACTTTGTTTTTACCTTAAGCTTCAAAGTGTCATAATCAAATGAGCATGCTTTGAAGTCCATCCCACCCGTTATAATACTGTAACAGATTACCATGGTATTTCTCTTTTACTTTCCCCCGTAGCTATCTATCTTCACACTGTTTAGTTGTGTAGCATGTTTTGGAGTGATACCGACTTGTTCCATCTTCTCAAGAGACCAGATGCGCAGTGTATGATCATAGCTCACTGAAACAACATGTTCAAGTTTGTCGTTGTATGTTAAACTGGTAACTGAATCCGTGTGACCATTGAAAACAATATCAGTGAACTAAGCATAGATTGGTTTATATGAAATTACAAGTTCACCGTCCGTCATTCATATACAGTTAAATTTTCAGTTATCTATGTAAATTCAGGTAAAGATTGAATATAATAAACAAGAGATATTTGGAATAATTAATTTAAAAATGATTGCTTTAAAAATTCGTTAGTGGATAGATTTCGTACTTATTAATTTGTTTTACAGTTTTGTTATTTATTATCCCTTTGAAATTATCATGTGGTACCTACCGTTTATCGTTGAAGTTTTTCTCCTAACAACAATCGAAAGCATACATTTCAGTGTGGTTAACTAATTCCCAAGGTAGATGAATGCGCATGCAGTATACAACACACTAGAATCACCACTTTCAATTCGGTATTTTCGTATTAGCTCCCGTACCTAATTTTTCCAGTCATTGTGAAAAATAAACCGTAATATTGGGTAGTTTGTCGTGTATGGGCTGTACCAAGTAGAACGAACTGCAGTTAACAGATTATGGCAAATTCGTATTCTTTATTCATTTCTAACTACCAGTATTATGCACCGTTTTGTTGGTTGTGCTCTTTGACATTATATCAGTCTGTTTAATGGATAACCGTTCGGACTAAATTCTTCTTGTTTGACATCTAACCACTTTTTCTCAGTAATTATTTTTGAGCACTTGACAAACCATTTTCCTACGTCAAAACTTGGACAGGTTTCACTTGTGTATGAGACTGTGCGCGACGAAATACTTTTGTAAAATTAATGTTGACTGATCATAGCCACCATTACGGCTTCTTATTCGACTATTTTTGGAAACATCGCCTCTTTCCACTGATTAGCTAGCTGCACTAGTTACCCTGGGAGATATTCTCCTATTTCACTAAGGTGTTATCCGGACTAAAATTATAACCATTAAGTTAAAAAAGATGTCTGAGAACTTTGCAGTTGGTAAAAACCCTAAGAAAATGAAGTGGAGCTTGGTTATTTTAGTATATGTTAGCCTCTTTTCGAAACCAGAAGATTCAGACCATGATATGTGGTTAGTCTCGTAAAGTCAGTGGCTTTAAGGTTATGGACAAGAAAGAAAGCATCAGTTACATATGTGTTTCTCACAAAAACAAATTTACTATTGTTTCCAACTTCGAGCCTTTTGAAAATAGTCGGTTAAGAGATGCCGATACTACATTTGGTCACAAACAAAGGAAGTGTTTAGGTGTGCTGGATCCTGTTAGGAAGAATTGATGTGCTGAAAATCAAATGCTATCCAAAGGTGTATACAACGCAGCAATTCACCGCTAGAAATAAGGGCGTACTTCGATCGATGCGAAAAAAACCCTTCATGTAAATCATTTTGTTGTGTTGTTCATTCAGTTAGAAATACAATGCTAAAAAGTGACCAATAAGTCTAGAGTTGTAATCATTGTTTTTTGTGCAGTTTTAAGTTACCAAATAATGTTTTTTAAATTTCACACGAGTAAATGTTGCTGAATATGGGTATAGTCCACTTCCTTCCTGATTTTCAGTTATCTGATCTATCAGCCTACTTTAAAGAAATGACATTTAAATGTGTTTGAAGGCATTAGGGGTTCCCGAAAATTAGGAATTTTACTAGTAGACAATACTTGAGCTGCAAAACACTGTCGGGACACACTGAATACTCTGAATACAATTAGGATGTCTTTTGGGCACACTTAAGAAATTCCAGAAATTTTGGGATATGTAAATACACGTGTATACACACACATTGAGATACGTAGAAATTTCACTAGGACAAGTGGCAATATGTTCACTACCTCATACAGAGGCTCATTCAGACTTAAAATGGAAGACTATGCATAGTTAGCAAGCCCTCGTTTAGATGACTCATATACTTTGAAAAGAGTTCAGAGGATGGCCATTCGTACGATCCTTGCGATGACTTCCCTAAACTAAAATGTACGACTCCAGGAGCTGAACGTTTTCTCTTTAACGTACTGTAGACAGAGAGGGAACTTTGACTCGCCATATAGAATTCCAACTAATTACTTTGAACCTGGTCTACCCTGGGCTTTCCTTCCAAGTAAGCTAAACCACCTCAGAGGACAAAGCCAGGGAGCGAATAGTGTAGAAAGAACATCGTCATCTTGGAGTACTGGTTTTTGTATTGAGTACTTAACTATTGAAACCGACTATTGCACAAATTGTTGTCCACGCCATTAATTTACCCATTTCATAAGGAACTGAACGAGCGCAGAGTTCTATTACAAAAGGATTAGGACGCGCTCAAATCCTACGACTTGCAAATATAAAATAGAGGACAGGGGAAACAAAGTTCATAACTACGACCTGAAGTTTGAAATCACCTACATTTCCTTGAAGCTTCGGAAATGTGGCAAGACAACGGCAATAAGTTAGTATACTTATGCATCAGAAACAATAAGAACAGATGCGCATTACTGGTGTAGAGAAGCCATTAGAGAATTACTGATGTATGTAAGGAAGGTTTACTCACGTGTAAACTAATCATCTGATGTAAATAACCTCGGTAATAGCATGAAATTTCTCTCACTTAATTGCAGTATGGACACACCACGCTTATAATAATTTTCTGTTTCTCATAATATTTTAACAAACAATACCCGTGTTAATAATACAGTTATGAAAAGGGAATTATATGTTTGAGGAGTAAACAAAGCGGGTTTCTACCAGAGTTTTAAAAGAGAGGCTTGTAATAAAGATATCTTAGGAGCAATTAAAAAGCGTTCAAGCATTTATATCATCTTAATAAATGTACCATACAGATACCATGCAGGATACTATCAAAATGGTGTCTCAAGTAACATAATAATTGAAGACATAAACAAAAACGGGAGAAATAGCGCATTTATGTCTTGTGATGATTATCACTTCAGTTTTCGCTGAACAAAGACGACGACATGGATTTTTGATAAAAGCTTCAACGTTACGTTTTTAAACTCATTGCGACTACTTGTGTGGAATAGATCAGAAAAATGCTTATGAAAGCCTTGATATGACCTGGATTCACCTATGTGGGTAATTATTTCTTTAGTGGTCTGTTCTGAAGAAACTTTCAACCATACGTTCCTGAAAACCACAAGCATATAATTACTTACGCTTTGTTCGTCTAAAGGAAATGAAATCATGCAAAAGTAAAGGCGGAGAATCAGCCACAGGGCAAATGGAGATGGTGTAGATAATTTTGATGCTTTTCGTGTTTTCCCTTTCGTTCACCATTACTTCGTTTCCTCTGTAGTCAATATAGGAAATTCCCATTTTTCCTATTATGAACAAGTCAGTCAGGAGGCTCTTAGAAATATGATCAACTAAAATATAAATCTATTTATAGTAGAAGACTTCATTGTATCATCAGAGACACTTAAAATGGAAACATGATACACACCTGCTTATCAAGTTGACGCATGACCTTCTCACCTAAGAGATGAGCATTTCAATATCCAATATCTGTTTAACGGGTTTGTGTAGACCAGTTAATTTCTTTGTGCTCCCTTCTTGGTCTTGCGGGGCGGTTCCAGGTCTTTGAGGGGTTACGATGAGGTAGATGCAGCCACTCGTTTGCTATAGCTCTGGTATAGAGAATAGAACGTTGAGTGTTGGTTAGTTAGCCTTGGGCTGTTGTGTTCCTCAAATGTCGGGTTACCAGGCAGTCGTTCAGAATGGTCGATAGGGAGAGTTGGGGATAGTAAAGAAATAGTCTTGGAAGACAATTGTAGGTGAGTGAAAGACAAAGAAAAGCCAAGTGATGGAGTAATCTACTAACACCCAAGACGAGAGGGGTGCAAACACATGGAGAACTTAGGTAGGTGAGGCTAATCCAAAGCTAGCGAGGGAGATTAAAAGGGCTTAAATGATTACAGCGGGAAGAAAACCGTTGTAGAAGCAACACAGTCGGAACGATGCGGCGGTAGTTAATTTTTGCGGTCTAGTTCATATTCCAACTAGATGTGCGTAAACCATGGGTCACTGAGTAAATATCTAGCCTTTTCTTCAAACGTTCAGCAGATAGGGTGGGGGATGCCACTGCTGGTGATGCAGTACAGTTCCCAAAGACTCGAAGGAAGAAATGTGCATGTATACGAGATCTTGACGTTTGGTGGGCAACTCTCTTAGGGTTTCTAAGCGGATCACCATGGTGGTCACATTGGTATTATTCCCCTGTTCGGGTGATTTGAGTTATTCACTATCTCGTAAACCATCTTGAAATCACCTCGTAATCTTCGATAACTAGCAGAGTATAGGTCCAGGTCTTCTAATCTATCCTCATATGGTTTTTGCTGCATCCCAACAATCCCTTCTGTGGCTCACCTCTGAACTTTCCCCAGTAGGTTCGTGTCTCTCTTCACTTGTGATAGAGCGAAGAAGTTATGGACCCCTAAGTTGGGTAGTATGCAGATCTTGAGGAATTTTTAAAAGAGCTCTGGGCTGAGGGCGCTTAGTTGTCTGCTTACAAAGTGTAGTACACCCTAAGCATCTCCTGGGTAATTGGAACTGGTGTCCAGTTTCTCCGTCACCATTAGACCCAGGTCTTCCTCTGTTGCGGTATGAAAAAGGTATGAAACACAGACAGAGTAAGATACTTTTCGTGGATCAGGGGTACAGAAAAACATGGATCGGCATTTATCCAGGTTAAATGTCTATTCATTATTTGTCGGTCACCCTTCAAGTGTTTTGAGATAGTTCGGTGGTGTATTCTGTTCCGTCTTGCATGTTACTACACTTCATAACTTGACATCGTCAGCGTAGAGGAGAATTGGAAGGTTGGTGTGCAGCAGAAGGTCATTCTGCAACAGTAGGAACAACAGCGAACCCAGGATTGCTCCTTGTGAGACACCGGACGATGGCGTTCTCCAAGCTGAGTAGACCCTATTAACCTTCGTACAGAACTCCCCACCATGTAGGTGGTTCCTCACTCAAGAAAGCACCTGGCCGAGGATACCCGACCCAGATATTTTGTACATTGGGGTGGTGTTCGGGATAGTGTTAAAGGCCTTGGCGAAATTCTGAAAACTGACAGTTTTTGATATATCGCACTCAGTTCTTAGGAATGAGTCGGGTTGTTCGGTTTGCCCCTGAAGTGGGCGAGGAGATCTCTTCCGCCTTTCTCCTTTTAGCTCCGCTGAGGTGGGCGTTTTTTAGATTGGTAAATTGCAATTTGTAGAGCGATTGGGGAGCCACGGGTTTCTGGGAATATTAGGGGTCTGTCGTGACTCCTGTCTGCATACGTACCCGAATGGGAATAGAAGGATATTGGGAAAAATACACGGGAACTACTGAAAGATAAAAGCAGACAGCATATGTCTAACTGCCAGAGAAGAGTTGGTCGATAATGCAGATGTACTAAGAAGAAAGACTGTGAGTGTTAGGCAGGAGGGAAGTGACAGCGAACTAGTGAGGTTTGTGATTCCCTGGTAAACTGTGCGACTTGACATAACAGTCTTCTGAATTGTTCCAATGAGGGGACTGTGACTACATCTCGTGGTAAGGCACCCCATAAAGCAAGTACTTCCTGGGGAAAAAGTTAGACCCAGGCCAGTTGTCAATTCCCTGATGTGCCATCATGGCGGAGTTGCGTCGTTGTTATCACAATGCTGCTGGTGATGCTGGTTTGCTTAGGTGAGTTGCTTGATGGACGGTCTTGTAGGCCATAACAAGGCCACGCCTCCTTCTGCGACAGCTCCAGGTGAATGGTTTTGGGAGTTTCAGCCCTTCAGAGTATGCCTTCTTCCCTAATCCGGCAACTAATTTTGTCACATATCTTTGCCTTTTCTCGCGGAGGTTGAATTCCCTTGGATGCTAGGTGTGATATCGTAATTAGGACCTCTGGGCGTGGCTGTATATAGAATCTGAAAACTAGGAGAAACAGTTCAGGAGTGAGATTACCGAGCCATTCATGGAGAAAAAGCGAAGTGGCGTTCACTCCAGTCGCCATTTCTTTGCAATTGCAGCCCGTGCTCATGGTGTCTGAGAAGCTGAGTCCAAATCTTTTTCCCAAGACGCCGTAGTGTTATCTTAGCTGTTTAGATCGTATTAAAATTAAACCATTCTTGCTTCATGGGTGCATGTGCATCACTTTGCACTTTCCCCAGCTAAGGTTTGCGACGTTTTTCGATGGCCAGAGTTCAAGTTGCGGCGGATCATTTTGCAGTGCTGACTGTGGTAACCGGAGCCGCAGTTCTCAACGTGCTAGGCTCACTGATTTGCATTTGTGTAACAATAACTGACTCCATGGGTCTTGGTAGTTTCCAGCCCTTTTCTTGCCTACAAGAAGCCTCTGCTTACTCACACATGCGTATTGAGCAGCCCATGAAGCTTTTCACGTTACACCATGAACGTAGAACTCTGTGATGGTGGAACGCGTGCCAAATTGGATTATGAAGAGTCTAAGGGTGGAGACTGACTTTGGGCGTGCTGAACTTGGGAGTCTGTTGATACCATTAGCACGTATATCGTCGAGGCCGACTTTGTTCGAAGGCTGTTACCATTTTTGGATGTCGTGGAGACACTGATCTTTAGCGGAAGGGTCACTTGGGAGTTCTTCGATCCCATGTGCAACCTTAGTGGTGCTTTTCCTCAGATTCCCAACCGCGTGTTTTCTTTCCGTCTCTCAGTGATAATGGTTTGTTAGGCTTCGCCTGGATTTCGTAGGTATTGGTAATGGCGGGCGGGTATGGAGAAAAGGGTATCTTCGGCTTCTTTCACCATGCTGAAAGACACTAGTAAGGGTGGTGCCAGTCCTATGGAGGCCCAGCCCAACGAGAAAGGCGACACAGTGTCGCAAGGGGAGGGGAGTCTCAGTATCTTACGGTAGTCAGCCTGCGTCTGGCTGTCAGACTTCTGTCGTGATCGGCTATTGGCGTGCCGGCACATCGACGCTGAACAAGATGGTTGGGCCGGCCCTTTCATTGCCTGCCTTCGCCGCGGGCGACACGCACGATTTCCTAATGGGTTTGTCTGGAACTTTTCCGGTTGCAGCGTCTGGGAAGCTTAAGCTGAGTTTCGTGAACGGTACAGTGAACAGTGTATTTTCCCGTGCCCACGACATTCTCCGTGGCTGGGTGAGGGATCCAGAAGTCCGACATAAGGTGGTTGTCGTGCGCGGTGGTGTGCATGTAGCTGTAGACGTGACCTTGTTTTCGGGTGCCTTTCTGTTATCTTTTGATGTTGACCTCACTTTGTTCAGGAAAGTTGACGGGTTTCGCTCAGTGAGTATCTGTTTTAGACCCTTCTCAGAGAACGCGGGGGGGGGGATTTCCGCACTCTAGGTGGACGTATTGAAACAATTCGTATAGTTGCAGCTTCATGAACTCGCGGTACTGCCGGGATATTTTGCTGCCACAGCGGCGGTATACACCTAGGTGGCATAAGTTGCATGCGAATGCCTCATCGGTTGCGGATACAAATCTGGTGCAGATGTGAGGCCGTCAGAAGTTATGGTGCAACCTGCTTTCCCTGGGGATGTCGTAGTTTGTGGTGAACCACTTGTGGCAACCTTATTTCCGCCTGTACCTCACCACTTCCTCTTTTTAGGTCCAGTCTGATCCTCTCCAGGAGTGAGAGTAATGTGTGACATGCTGGGGCCTCCCTGCGTCAGGTGTGGTAGCTATGGGTGTCTTGGAAACAGGGGTTGGCGCTTCCATGGAGGATCAACATCATCCTCTACCTTCATTTGGCTAAGGATGCGGTCTGGAGTGTTGTTTAAGGGGTTATTCTCCCTCCTAATGTGCCATCGCGTCGTCCGCACCCATGCGCCAGATATACCGTTTTGGGTCGGCATGACCTTACCATATACATTTCTTAAGTATATAACACTGGTAGGCAGATGGATGACTGAATGCGGCAGAAGAACGGAATGAACGAAGGGGAACAATTTACGTCGGCTTACCTTCAGACACTTGTAAGTTGGTCCCCTGCTCCTGGCCAACGAGTTTAACCATCAGCCCCAGATGAACATGTGAAACCACGAGAGACGTTCCCTGAGGACTGACCTCTGAGGAAACCCAGAAGTTAAGACAGGAGGCAGATTGGTGTTTGCAGAACTAACTATCCTGGATTTTCCTGTTTAGAGGTATGTTGATAAATATGTGGTTGTTAGGTATGTGCAACCACAGGAGCGTTACCAGCTTTTGGATTCGATAGACAGAATATTTAAAACTAGGGTTGCCTAATGTTCAGAAGTCTCAAAAGCGTGAGGCATGAATAGTTCACATCACCGCCCAAAGCTAGTATGAAGGATTGCAATATTTTTGCGGCAGGTAAACTCCTGGGTTTCGACGAACTCCAAAGACTAAAGTGACCTGCATAGTTACAGCGGATTTTGCGAGTTAGAAGCGTGTGGCTAAGTGTCCTCACCATTCAGGAGGTTGCGGTGTTCCATCACCTTCTTCGTGGGCGAGTTAG